AGTGTGGAGCCCATACTATTTCTTATTTACCAAGTAAATAATAGTAAATATACTTTTTACCGACGTACACAGACTGACTGACATTTCTCAAAACAAACGGCGGGACATATGTCATTTTGACAATAGTACCAACATAATCAACATATTTTTTACCATAGACAACGAGAAACATGTTATTTCTGCATGAAAAAATGGCAGCACTGATCAAAATGGCTGTCAAAATTGACTTTAACCTACAAAAATATTAATTTTCAATTTTTTTTTCTCGAGGTCTATTCGTTTTCGAATAAAAAGATTTCGTGTGTGTGTTCCTAATAATTAATACTTTCCGTGACAAAAATCTTAACTCGCTATTCAACCACAACTAATGGAAAGCTGAGCCGAGAACTTTATTGTCGTCTTGACTACCTCACAGAAGCTTATCGAAAAAGCCAACTTGATAGATTTCGTTTAAAATATTTTTATTTTTTTTATAATTTTATTTTGAGAACAAAAGATTTTTGTTGTAGTTCTTTCTTTCGTTACGTTTAATTTCATTCCAAGCAAAACTATTTTTATGTTGATTTATCGTTAGAATGCTATTTATGTATTATTATCAATACAATAATTTTCGACACCTATTTGTTGCTTTATCATTTCATCAATTAATGAATAATGGATTGCGATGTTATTGTGATATAACATAAGCTCACGGTTAAAAATTTCAAAATAGTAAAACCGATTTTTTGACGTGACAACGTCTTAAATTAGGTTGCGGCTGGGAGTCACTTATGAAAAAGTGTAACGCTCGGTAACGTTACGATGAGTCTCTCGTGTTAAGTTTAAGTTTACATGTACAATGTTTTAGTAAACAAAATATATTTCTATAGTTAAAATTTGTGCAATTCTTATTTTCATTCAATTCCTTGTTCCTATTGTGCAATTTAATTATATTCATATCAATAAATATTCTACCGAGAAAAAGACGTTGTCACGTAAAATCTTCGCCCGTAAAACCGACTTTACAGGCAACCATTTTTTTTATGAGAAGTAACGAGTAACGTAACGATACTATAGTAACGAGTACTAATTGTTAAAGTAACGAATACATACGGGTACGCTTTTTTTCGTTACTTTTACACCTCTACTGAACGGCGCCTATATTTGCACTAGTATATATTGCATTTTACGGGTGATGTTCAGAGTCTTATAAAATAATAATTAATGAACATATTATAAAAATATATACATATTTCAATAGTTCAATGATTGTAGATTAGTTTTATGAAAGTTTTTTATAGTAATTCTATTTGATTCAATATCAAAATACGAGGTAAACCTGCGTTCTTTTTTGGGGAAACTCACGGAGGTTAGATGTTTTTTTTATTAATTAATGAGATAGAAAATCAAGATTCTAATACATTATGTTGCAACAAAAACGTATTTCTGATGTAGTAGTAATTAATTTGATCTAATTTATTGAACATTATTGTGAGATTTAGGCGTTTTAAGTTGTGCATATTATCGTTTTTTCCGTAAACTAGCTGCGGTAGAACGATCAGTACAAAAAAATGAAAATAGTATTTGCAAATATTCTACATTAATTTTCAATAGGAAGAATAAATCTACTGTTTACTTCTATTGGAAGTAGTCAAAACTTCTTCTAAGGGGGCAAACGAGGCGCTCAAAAATTGCGATTTATTGCAAAAAATGTGAAAGGGCTCTTAAATATCGCTAAAACGAATTACATCTGCTTTGGTATCCAGAACCATGCACAACCAACTGTCGACTTTAAACTAAAATTGCACTCTTGTAACCTACCCTTGAAATCGATGATGTTAGATTGTGATTGCCCTGTTATGGAAAAGATTGACAAAACTAAGTACTTGGGGGTGGTGGTTGATTAGCGGCTGTCCTGGCATTCTCATATTGATCAAGTTACTACCAGAATTAGGAAACTAATTTGGATATTCATACTCTTAGACATGTGGTGCCTGGAGAGCGGTTGATTGGTCAGGGCTCCTCAAGAAATATTCTTAGAGAAATCTATAAAGCACTGGCAGAGTCAGTCCTTACTTATTGTATCCCTGTATGGGGAGGCGCAACCAAAACAAAAATGTTAGAGTTAGAGCGGGCACAACGGGCTTTGTTGAAAGTTATGCACTATAAAAATAGAAGATACCCTACAGATGCTTTGTATTCTACCAGTAAAGTCCTGTCTGTTAGAAAGCTATACATTTTACTCACGGTAATAAAAAAACACAAATTGACAACCTTTGATCCTAGTAAAACATTAAAGAGAAGAAAAAGCTCTATTGGACTTCCACGAACAAAAACTGCGTTTGGATCCATGCAATATAATTTTCGTTCGGCATATTTATATTATAAAATAAATAAAATCGTAGATGTATATACTAAAACCTCACACGAATGCAAAAAATATATAATAAACTACATAACTTCGTTGAATTATGAGGAAACGGAGGCCTTGTTACAATAGGTAAAAGTAAGAAAAAAAACATAGCATCACCACCCACTCACACGTACAAATACACACACACACACATACACACACTCGACATAAACACATACACATAAAACGACACAAGACTTTCGTATTATTATTTTAAAACTATGCAAAAAAATTATGATTTACTATTGTTTGATATATGTGCTAACATTTATAAGTCCATTTTTTTTGTTTAAACATAAATAAGATAAGCAAACTGTAATTTTAGGTATGGAAGAGCGGAGTCACCTGTCACAGGCTTTATTTGCTTAAAAGGTGGCTTCAATCATGAGCATAGAATGTAAATGGTTTAGTTACATTCTATGCTCATGATTGAAGCCACCTTTTAAGCAAATAAAGCCTGTGACAGGTGACTCCGCTCTTTAAAGAAAATAAAAAAAATATTATTAAAAATTTATTATTATTATATTATTAATTAACAATATTTGTTATTGTTTGTTTATAAATGTTTGGTTTTTATTCCATAATTAGCTGAGTGCTAAAAAAGGGTTCCAAGATTTTTTTGCAAGCCGTACTTTTCAAGCGACATTTGACAGATGGAGGTCATTGGCTTTCCTATTCTTATTTGAATCGCTTATTACTGATGGTTAGCGTGGGCGGCTAACCGCTTTTTCATTTTTGTTCATACGCGATTACATACTAAAATGATAAAAATCGGCTACGTAGCCGTCTATACAGTTAGCCGCCAGTGCGAGGATTAGTACGTACCCTCAGACCAAATAAAAAGTAAAGACGGAGTCTGCCGAACAAAAAAGTGAAGCCGGTTTTTTATGTATGTAGTGCATTAGCCAGTGTTACCATAGTCATTTATAATACCCCAATATTAGAAAAATTAATAACGTTATTTCATAACGTTATTAATAACGTTATAAAATATTTAAAAAAGCTATCGTAGGCTTATTCTCTAGTCCAGATTAGTTTTACACTAGCGCTAGATCCAACCTCTCGTGAGCCAAAGGTCCTGCGCTTGGAGATCTGGGGTTCCTTCCTGATTTATAAGTTTAATAACTGTTACACTAATAAAAGTTTAGTTAAAAAATATATAATAAAAACAAAGCTTAACCTTTGGAGTTTTTGGCGGGATTTCATGGAGTGCGGTTAGCGTCGTATTTTCATCATCATCATCAGCCTATTAATGTCCCCACTGCTGAGGCACAGGCCTTCCCTATGGATGGAATAGGGAGATTGGGCCATGACCCACCGCGCGGGCCCAGTGCGAATTGGTGGGTTCTAACGACTGCAGATGCAGCCGGGACCAACGGCTTAACGTGCCTTCCGAAGCACGGAGGAGCTTGAGATAGTAAATTTTTGGTCACCCATCCAATGACCGACCACTGCGAAAGTTGCTTAATTTCAACGATCGCAGCCGAACGCGCTAACCAAATGCGCCATCGAGCTCCTCGAGTCGTATTTTAATTATTCTTTAATTCGTTCATAGTGAATATTGTGAAATAAAATTGGTGTAATTTTGTGTTTCAACCGTCTGCACGACTGAAGAATTATTGGAATCTTTAAAATATAAATTAACCTAAGTAACTATATTAAGTTAAGTAAAAAAAAATATCCTTGGATATGCATTTTATTTTCCACGACGTAACCCTTTTGTTGTGTAGTACAAATCGTCGCTCTGAAAATGAGACGAACAAACCACGCTGCGGGAAGCTGGTTGCCACAATGGTTTATTTCTACTCTTACGAATGACTGCAATCCACTTCTCTTTTAGATTTTGATCTCGATTAGGAAATCGTAAAAAAACGTATAATATATAATGAGTTACAGCCCAAAAAATTTATTCGAATACATAAAGAAAAAAGATAATAAAGATGTTTCGTATAATTGTTTATCCATGCATTACAATATTCGAATAATATAAAAGTATGCTACACAATGTATTTAATAAAATAACGTTACGTTATATTTCACGCTACCCAACAAAAGGGTAAAACTGTAACGTATAATCATGGCAGCATTTCATTCTGGTTTTCATTACAAAGCGACAACCTCAAATTTGATTTTGATTAATTGAAAATATTAGTTTATAACTTTACTTACGTATGAAATGTGATTCCATCCTGTTTTTTATTCTTGGAAGATTGGTTTCTACACGTTTTCACTACACAATTCGGCATTTTCTCTAGTAAATATTGTTTTTTATTATTACGTCACACTCCGCCCGCCGGGATAGCTCGACTGGGAAGCCAAGGCGTAGTTTCGTTGCATGGGTGTGCGTGTAACTGTGTATGTACACGGCGAGGCGTAGTTTTATCGGCTTCACTTTTTTGTTCGGCAGACTCCGTCTATACTTTTTATTTGGTCTGAGTACGTACCAAATATTCATCGCGCGTGTGTGGGAGAAGCATAATGGCGATATCGCTTCTATCGTATTTATAACTTTATTAAATAGCAACAAGATTGAGTTCTTGCAATTCAAAATTTTGCAATGCAATAGCCGAATGGCTTGACTGGCCACAAGAAAGGAGAAAAAATAAAAGATCAAGCTATAAAATAGAATTTGTAATCCATAAATAGTTGACACAACCAATATTAACATTACTGCTGATCAAAGATTAGTTCGAAAAAGTAAATTTTTGGCGATCGGAATGTGAAATGAAAATTATATTATTTTGTCGTTTAGTTATTTTCTTTTTTAAGGTTTATTATACACCTCACGCTGACTTCGCTCGCGACGATGATCAGGCTTATATAATCTTAGAAAGAATAAGAATACGGAAATGGGCGTTTCGCGGTCCTAATAAGTCACCGGACAAAAACTTCTACAAAATATAACCACATTCCAGTCTGCCACATTCATTCGTATCTTGAATAATATTTAGGTAATATTAACTTGAGAATGCCGACGCAGGAAGCGCTTATGGAAGAAAATGATATTCAGAAGCAAGTGAAACATTCCGTGTATACTACTACGCTGGCTGCACCAAGCTCATTAAAGAAACTATTTGAACAACTATGATTCAAGAATACAGGTGCATCTAAGAATGTTCCGTATATTCCCAGTCGTCCCCCGGGGTTAAGCAGCGGAGGCAAATGGGAATGAAGCCCCCACTTCAGTTTATTTATACCTATTTGCCTTCGGTGGCAATCCTCGCGGGGGTTACTGGGGATATACAGAACATTCTGAGATGCATCTGTATTCTTGAATCTTGTTCATATAGTTTCTATAATTTGCTTGGTGTGGTTAGTGTAGTCTCGGTCAAGAGAAACGGAAACATTTGAAGCATTAACACAATGAAGTTTAGACAGCGCGATACCAATGTTAAAACAAACTCCGAAAAATATTTTGAATAAGTATAATGGAAAATGTTTTCTGCGCAGTAGCAATTTAAGTACCTATAAGCTTAAATTTAAAAATTATTATTTGATTATCAGGTTACATTCATGGTATTTTGGGTTATAATATGGCTACTTTAATACAGAGGCAATACATTATTAAATATTAAAAACTTCATTTGATACTGTACAATCACGTGTGAAAATAATTTTACAAATGGGACTTGTTGAAAATGTCATATCGCACGCCTGAAAAGACAATAAAAATGATCTGTTATTAATGTAGACTGATCGCCGAAAGTAGTAACACAAAAAAGTATAGATATTATATATTTATGTTTATTTTATATATTTTTTAACCTTCACATATTTATACATACATTTACACGTAATGCACACCAATGCACGCATCGATAACATTTTTTTACTGAATCAACAGAAAGATATGAAAGATAAGTAACAACTTTTTGTAATATAAAATATACAATCACGGGTATGAATATAATCGTCATTTTGTGAGATTCAAATACACATAATAAGGATGATGACTAACTTTTTTTTCGTCTATGCGTTAGATTGTGAAAAAGTATTAAATACATATTTTTTCTATTTTCACATAATCAAAACACAACAGGGATGCGTCATGTTGACGACGTCATGAGTTGACGTCATGTCAACTCTTGTTACAATTTTTACATAAAAGTCACGTCATGAGCTCCCACTCCCAAATTTTAACGTATCTTTGTCATTCGAAAGTAAAATAAGTGTCTTTTATTTTATGATAATAATCTAACTGACGGACTTTCGAATCGAAAATCGAAATCGAATTTCGTTTACTTTACCCCGTCATCATCCCTATTATTTGAAATTGTTATAAAAATGTTTTTGTTTTAAACAGATAAATAAAAATATTTTTTGAAAATTAGTATATACATTATTGACAGTAAAATATAATCAACTAAATTGAAAATTATTTTGTGGAAGCGCTTTCAGCTTGCTTGGCATGTTCATGTTAAATTCCCATTTTGTGTTACAAAAATCACTTATTTTGAATGAGGATGGAGTATTTTGTTATATTATGAATATTTTTATTTTATTATTGTATTGCACTAACATCTTTGTACTGTTCTACAGCTAATTTTAAATTAAGTACATACATGTATAGATTCTGGTACGATTCTCTAAATTTAACATCAGTGCCTCCTTTTCATTCTATATACAGAATGTCAAGGATACACTGCTGTTAAATGAATTTAAGGTTGAGAGAATCATACCAAAGAATCGACACCACAGATAACGTAAGCTAAAACGCTAGGAATGTCGATTAGTCAGTAATTTCACTTACCATCTAAATTCATAAGATTTCTACATTTCATTAAAACAAAAAAATATAAGAAATAGAGTATAAAAGTTTAGACATTTTATATTAAAAAACAAAAAATGATATAAAGGAGTACTGATAAAACATAGTAAACATGTTCAGTTAGGACAATGTATCAAAACTTCAATACAACATGCCGCCGCCTGTGTTAATTACGTCGATTACAAATTACCTATTGAATGAGTTAATCCATTATTCTAAAATAATAACGCTCACAACGAGAATTTTTAAATAAACTATATAACTCAACGAAAAATAAATACCCTAGATACAACAACAATCTCTTTTAGAGATAAGCCAACCTTTGCTGACTATGTATTTGACTTTGTTTTGAACTATATGATGCAATAAAGAGTATAATAAACAACACGAACAAAATCGTGGCCGGAATGTGTCCAAAAGGTACATTGTACGATTCACGGAGCTCCGTAAGATGATCGAGTGGTCTAAAACCTTATACGGCATTATTTAAACATTGAAAGTCACCTTTAATACATACTGTATAAGGTCTTAATTAAAACGCATGCGTCAAAGACTTCTGACAGATTGAAATGCAAGCTCGTAAAATTTTACGACTTATTGCTATATGCGGAAGAATAGAGACCTTTTTTTTGGACTCTACGCACAATTCTGAATGCGTTTGTTAGCAAAATAGCAGGTACGGACTGCAAGGAAAAGAGACGGCTATACGGCGACGTATATCCGTCCATGGATTTGAATATCACAAGTATTTTATATTAAATCAGTTTATAGTAAGTATTAGAACAAAATTTTCTTCAAATGCGTTAAATTAACAAACATTGATTAGATACCTGTCGAAAAAACTACACTTTTCGTACTATTATTTTCGCAGTTTTTCAACGACACTCGCATTTTTTCACTGAGCTCTGTAGCATCTTGACTACGTAACGGTCCGCTCGTGACTGTGAACCAAGAAGTGCTTGAGAGGAGTTAAAGCACTTCTTGATTGGGACATATTTTGAGCGCTCGTGGTGTATCTAGGGTATTTAATATCGTTGATATAACTAATAAAACAATCAAACTGAGAGACAGACCTTACGTCTATATTGTTAAAGTTCATTTTGGATATAGTATTTTTATAGTTTTTCTATACTACAGAAGACACTACAGGATGAGTTGATTATTTCTTTTGAGTTATCGCATACATGAACGATAGACACTTTATCAGACGCCTGCTTGTTAGCCACTATTTTCACATAAATTAGTACATTTAGTTGCCTGATTAATTAATTGTTTTAGATATTAGGGTAACTTAAATATGAATTTATAAAGGAATACTTTTGAATATATACATATTTTTAAATCCAATTATGACAGATTACAGTTGAAATCAGCAGTTAAAGCTTAGCTCGGGTAAACTAAGCTAGAAGGCTTGATTTAAATGCACAATAGTTTCCTACACTTTATGATTATTTAATATACTATTTATCTCACTGAAACACCCGGTTTTACCAAAAAATAAATTTGGGGGCGACTCGGCATAAATATTTTATATTGAACGATACTTTTACCATTTACATTAAATATGCAGTTATCTCATGGATTCGATGACATTTATGAACATGAATGTATGGTTGACGTTGGTGACGTTTGTATGGTCACCAATGGTCGTTTCGAAGGCTGACCAATTAAAATTGAGCTGCGTTGCGCTATGTTGTTATGTTCATGTTGTAATGCGGACGTTGAAAAAATGCGTTTATAACAGTCCGTCTCAGTCCCTTATTGCAACAGAAAAGAGTTGATTTTTGTTTTTTTTTAGTAGGAAGGAAGGAAGTCATTAGGAAAGTGTACCATATTGTTTTAACTTAAGGAATTGATTGATACCTTTTACGGAACTCTTTCAGAGGCCTCGCTGTAGAAAGAAAACATTCTCGCATCCACATAAAGTGCAGCGCATCACGAATTATTTGTTTCTAATTATAATCGTGGAGAGAGCTGATTAAATAAAATATAACACAGCACAGCTCAATTTTGATTAGTCACCTTTATACACCTGGAAGACTCCAGGTCAGCGTTGCCAGACGTCCCGATTTCTAAAACAAAATTAAATGTCCCGCGCGGGACAGGGTCAATCCCGCTTTTCGGGCATAACTCGAACTCTATTTAAGGATAGGGTAAATCTGATTTAAAATAGCATATTTTTATTAAAATACATTTTTATGTAAATTTTAATAGGTACCAATGTATTGTCACGTAAACATTATTTGAACTCAAAAAAAAAGATAAATATTCAAAAACTTTTGATTTTTTTTACTATGTCCTGCTTTCGACAAAGGTATCCCGCTTTTTTCACTCAAAATGTCCCTAAATCCCGACTTCGGGCAACGCTGCTCCAGGTAGAACACAACTTTACGAGTTTTAACTTTCTTGTACGTAACCAATTTAAAGCACCAATATTTAAGACTCGAAGTCAGTCGTCGTTTCCGAAAACGTCTTACGTTTTCTTCTTGAATATGCTTTGTAGATTCATATTGTTTTTGGACTGCTGGAACATTTGTGTTACCCTTCTGCCGACCTCTTGGGCAGCTTGGAGATTCGTTGGCGGTCGAGGCGGTTCCCGTGTTGTTTCTATTGAGGGACCAGCGACGTTGTGTATTAATGCTTCTATGGCGCCTTTATAATTGGACAAGGCTGGCGTTTGCACGCCTTCTTCTAATTTCCTGAAATAAATAAATAAATATTTCCAACAGTCACACCAATTATTCTAGCCCCAAAGATAACACTGTAAGGCTTGTGTTATGGGATACAAGGGTAATGGATAGAATACATATATAAGTAGGTTATCACCTAACTTAATAATTTATAAGCTATGTTTATACAAAGCGAGTTACCTGCAGTCAAACTGCGTAAGCAGTTTTGCGGGGCATGGTTTAAATAAAAGTGTAACTTTTTATGAATAAATATATTACATACACTAGCAAACCAGTGAACCAAATGTTCACCAAAACCTGATTTCTCGTAAAAAACGGGAAGTGCTACGTACGTTACTCAAATCCGGTTTGTAGTCTTATCAGACTATTCTTAACTTATAACTTAAATATTCTCTTTATCTATCTCTTACGGTTTGGCCGCTGAAACAGCACCACAGACAGACGGACGGACTTGTCTAATAGATAAGAGATACATACACACATATAAATATATAGCAATATATATCAAGCATCCATTACTGAAGAACAAATGCTCGTATTCATCACAAAAACATCTGTCCGCTGTTATTTCTTCTAACAATACCTTGTTAATAAAGCAACAGTGTAGTCTATAGGATTTACCTGAGCGCCGGAAGTAAAGCCGGGTGCCGGCGACAGTGATGCGCAGCTAGTTGTAGACCGGGAGTCAACGCGGCGAGCCATTCGCTGGATAACGCGCATCGATCGCACAAATCGCAGAGTAGCGAGACAGCTGTGGCACGCATAGAGAAAACGAGGTTAACGGCTATTAAACCTTACTAATATTTCCAACACTCACACCAATTAGCCTAGCCTCAAAATAAGCACTGTAAGGCTTGTTTTATGGGATACTAGGGTAATGGATAGAAACAAATATTGTACAGATACAAGTATATTTATATGGAAATACATATAAAACATCCATGACTGGAATACAAATGCTCGTTCGTATTCATCAAACAAACATCTGCCCCCACCGGGATTCGAACCCGGGACCTCTCGAGTCGGCGACACCATGAAACCTGGCGTACAAACCGCTCTGCCACGGAGGTCGGCAAATTACTATTATATTTAAATCTAAAGAAAATATTACTAGAAAAAAAATGTGGGTTACCTACAATGCGAAGAGATGACGCTGCCTTGCAGCCTAAGGCTAGAGAAATTTCGACGCGGCCATCAGGGCCGCGGTAGCATAATTGGTCAGTGCATTCGCCCGGATAGCGAAGGGTGCGGGTTTGAGTCCCGTCTGCTGCCTGGTCCGCGTGGATTTTTTTCTAGTAATATTTTCTTTAGATTTAAATATCTAGTTTATTAATAATAATATAACTACTATTATATTACTTTACTATTCTTTGGGCCACTTGCAATAACATTCTTTATTCAAAGTAAGGCTTAGCGCAACCGCACATTGAGCTACTAGTTGCTGCGGTCGAGCTGTGGACAGGATTTTTTTAACTTTTTGTATAATATCGGCGCAAACCAACCGTTTCAGTACCCGCGTTAGAGCCATAACCTGAGGGAGTCGCACGACGTCACTATTTGTGATCGCGTTTTGTCGCGCGCCTACTCAGCCTCAATACCACGCTGAATTGTATGTTGATGGTTTTGAATTCGACGACGTTTTCTACGTCTCAGTATAATAATCAACAACCACGAAAACAATAGTGTTACCATTTCACAAACGCGTTCGATCCCTGCAAGCTATAGACAGATATGAACGCAATTCAGCCAAAAATGGTGGTAACCACGGCACGGTTGCCCGATGTGTAAAAATATAAAAATAGGCGACTGAAAAAAATATTCTGAAGCTAATGAAGGTATTTATTCAGTATAAAATAATATCGAACTTTATGTAACCTAAACTTTAAATTAATTGTTCAGTTTTTGTTGCCTAGTTTGCCAAAACACAAGCCTTACAGTTCTTACTTTGTGCCGAGTCTAATTAGTGTGTGTTTAAATTTAAACAGTTTTGGTCCCAATAATGTTCCTTAAATTTAAGATCAGTATCTCCTTTTCATTATGTATTGGGAACGAGAAGGATGTACTGTTGTCAATTTTAATTTTAGGTTTAGAGAATCATGCCAGAATCGGCACAAATAGCAGTCTTAGTCTTATACCTTACACACTTTCGGTCCCAATATTGTTCCTTGTGGGACTTCATTTCTACGAATTACCTTTCTCCGAGATGTCTAAACCGAACGCACCAAAAACGAACATCCCAATATTGTTCCTCGTGGTGCTCCATTAATTTCAAGTTTATTATTATTATAATGGTAGTCTTAGTCTTAAACAGTTTCGGACCTAAAATTGTTCTTTGTGGTACTCCATTTCTACTTCTTACTTTTCTCGGAGACGGCGTGGTTGTCAGGGCGTTGGCAGAACTAGAAGGGCGAGCGATTCGGCCACTCTAACTTCTTCCTTGCTCGCTAGAGGGCGTTCCATTCTAAGGCCGCGTTGTTTCATGGATAGTAAAATTTTACTATAGTTAAGACCTATATATCCATTTGTGAAAATTTTACATATTTACTATGGTTTTGACGTGCCACGAACGCGCTTAACCTTAAAGAGTTTCGGTCCCAATATTGTGCCTTGTGGGACTTGCATTTCTACTTCTTACCTTTCTCGGAGACGGCATGGTTGTCAGGTGTTGGCAGCACTAGAAGGGCGAGTGATTCGGCCGCTCTAACTCCTTCCTTGCCCGCTAGAGGGCGTGAAGAAAGTAGATCCTCCACAGGCGGCCAGCATTGAGCTTCGCATTCTAAGCCGCGGATGATACAAGTCCTGGTCACGGTACCCCACGTAGTTATAGCCACTTCCCGGACCGACCTGTATGTAACTTAGTGTTAAACTTTTTTCGAACTATAAAGGACAATGGGCAAAACGCACCCAGCTACGCCAACAATTTAATTAGTGTGAATCGATAGATCTATGATTAACTAGCCTTTTTTATTATGACACCGAAAAAAAAAATCCTGGGTGTCAAAAGATATGACACCGTAAAAAATATCCTGGTAGTCAAATGATATGACACATGGGCATATTTAAGTAGGTAAATAAATTCATTTATATAGTACCTTCATTTTATATATTTTTTTTTATATTATTAGTAACCATAATAATATGCCATATTGTACTATACAACCAGATATACGACAAAGTCTGCTGATCTATCCTGCGCTTGCACCTACCACCAGCCACCTCAAAACGGTTTACGGGGGTTGAAGGACTTGCATTTGCAAATAGTCGACTCGTCTTACTTAGTTGTAATTGTGCGCTCCCTGTCACTTTATTGGTTTTTATCTAACACGCTGTGGACATTAGAACACGGTTATCGGTTTTGTCAATTAGTATGGATGAACTGGAATCATGTTTTCTCCGAAGCGTGGACAAGGTTGGGTGATTTGTGGACGCTCCGTTTTACAATGAAGACAATTTACTATAACGAACAGAATATTTGAAAAAACCCCAACCTATGCGGGGATTTTGGGTTTACTCTAGTACTGCAGAGTAACATAAGGGGGCACCCTTGAACCTTGTGAAGTACTCCCATAATATCTGAGCCCCTATGTAGTGTAGAATTCACTAACGAAATTAATTCCCTTGTTTCATTAATGTTCGTTCGTTATAGTACTTGTACCTATTTAACTTAAAATAACTTAAGACTCCCGGGATAGAATTTGATGCGCTTTGGCACAGATGATCATGACTATAATATCTTTCAAACAAATTAGTCCAGTCGGAATAAACATGAGACCTATTCTAAGACACCAGCGCTTAGCCAATTTTTTCCTAGATAGTATAGACCCCCACGAATATCCCCTCCATTTGTCCCCGCTAGAACCCGTGTTTTGTAGCCAGGAAAATTGTTTAAACAAAGAAAAACCGTTTTTTTTGAGATTTTTTGCTTGTAAACGGGGATTTTGAAATTTTTTTTGAATCAAAGTTCAATCAAATATCAAAGAAAAATACATTAGTTAAAAAAAAAAAATATTCTACGTCAATTTTTAAAAAAAATTTAATTCGTCCAAAAACGAACATTTTTATTAACGATTTTTTTCTACTCGATCGATTCCTCAAAATTCTTGGTGAATCGAATCACCTGAATTTTTTTTCCCGCTGTGCGCCTTCTGGGAAAGACGGGACAGGCAAGTACTTTTTTTTCGGAGATTGAGAATTGTTGCTAAAGTTTGCGACACAGGTCGATAAATTTTACATGACTCTCTTGGGAGTGGCGTTACCCACATGATAAACTACTTTAGAAATCAAAATGTTTATTATAACATGTTGAATTGTTGCAGACGTAAAACCGACATAATTGCAATTTACTGCTAAACTAACAATCTCACGTTCTTTTTTCATAGAACTGATTTTGTAGAGGGCAAGCAAATGAACAACTTTGATTCAAAAAAATTTTCAAAATCCCAGTTTACAAGCAAAAAACTCAAAAAAACCGGTTTTTCTTTGTTTAAACAATTTTCCTGGCTACAAAACACGGGTTCTAGCGGGGACAAATGGAGGGCATATTCGTGGGGGTCTATACTACCTAGGAAAAAATTGGCTAAGCGCTGGTGTTTTAGAATAGAAGTCGGTCCAAATTATGGCTATTCCGACTGGACTAAATGTAGTTTAAGCCGTGGCGGACGTGGGTGCAGCGTCCATACATTTTTGCCCAATGTCCTTTGTTAGATGATGTTTAATCAATTTATGAGTGGATATATATAGAGAAAACAGCCCATAATCCACCAGTGCGCAATAACAGGCAGATACTACAACCGATACGAGGAGCGTCTGTTGAGAGGGGGCTATTTCCGTATTTACTGATTCATAGATTTTTTTGTGAATTCTACTGGTATTCTAAGATCCTATCACAGTCTGTGTTTAGTCTTGATCGAAAGTGATTATAATCTCTTCAAATTTGAACTTAAATTCACGGTTCTATTCAAACAGTTCTGTACGGGACGCCGGGCTGTCGCAGTAGCGGACAGTTACCGACTCGTACTGAGGGGGTGGAGGAAGTTACACGCAGGAGTCTTGACTGTAGTGGACTGTAGTTTCGGCGAATAAAACCCCTGGTGTTCGGTATTGAAGAAATCGGTGGGCGCTGATAATGGATGGCCGGTGAGAGGAGGCTTCAGGTCCAGAGTGAACCGCTTGGTTGTTTCTTCCTGATCCTTAGGGTAGGAGCGCCTGTCGCTGAATGCATGTCGGGGCATGTTCCGACTCGATTTTTATATGCTAGGACTGAGCTGGCCAGCGATCCATTACCTCACCCACGCTATACTTTATTTTTCATTTTCTCAAAATTTACAATAGTGCGAGCTTAAAACTAATTGTACATACATCGGGCATACATTTGGGCATATTTTTAACATAGTTATGTGTCCGTAAACACGATATTTTAGGTGTGGCGCGCAAAAAATAGGTCTCCGCAATATTTATACTTTCCCCCTCCATAGGGCTTCGCCCTGCCACGGGGCTTCGCTGCCCCACCCGCGCGCTCCGGGCGCGCCGGGTGGGGAGCGCGACATGTCTCAGAAAACGGTTCTATACAAACATGTTTTTTCTCCTACACAGTACATTTTTACACTTATTGATGCGATACCTATTTATTTATGTAGCCCTACGTGTTACCTATCTAATACAACAAGTTTCTTACAAGAATATTAATAAACAACAGCTCTACGGCCCTATAAAGTTTGTAAATTAAAAAGTCTTAAAAAACCTACTTATACTCACTTAATGTCTAACTATCATATACCGTTCTATAGAAAAAGTAAAAACACATAAAATGACATCATTATTATAACAATTATACCTATATCCTATTGATTATTCATAAAAAACTATTCCCAATATTTTCCTTAATTACGCTTAAACTACTAACACGATTCGTATAAAACTTCGATATATTATTCCTATAACTACCTACTATCTAATAAGACATAAAATAAATCAATTAAAACATAAAACATACTATTATCGAAAATTGTCAACTCAGGCAAAATCCTATAAGACGTGAGACAAGGACAACCTATTGTCTCCGTCCCTCCTATAGGTCGGAACTATCAGTATTCTGACTAGTTTCCCCGCGCCACCGCTTGGCGTCGTGGCGATCGTTTAGATAAAGTCTTATAAGATTATTGGAGAGAACGGGGCGGAATATCGCTCTGAACTATCAGTTTTACAATGGTTTACTATGGGCAGAGCTATCTATTGTTGCGATATCCGACTCATTCTAATAAGACAACAAGGGAATGATATCTTTAATGCGTATACAACCGATTCATGTGAAATTATAGATACATTTTTATACATTGCTCTCGTATTGTTGTAAGTTCATTTTCTTTCGCTTCGGTCGTCGCGTACATACTCCCGCCGTGCAGCGTCGGTCGACTCGTCGCTGCATCCATCTTCCGTGGGAGTGGCGGCCGATGCGAATATCACCAGTCGCTTGGTCGGTCTGCGTAGTACTCCTCCGGCTGTCTTCAGATCGACGACTCGTACTGTGCCGTCTCGCCCGGGAAAAGTGGCGATGACGACTCCCTTGGGCCACGTGTTGCGTGGCAGGTTGCTGTCGGCGATGAGCACGATGTCCCCGATGGCGATGGTATTCCCGGTCCCGTGGGGCTCCCGCCGGTGTTGCAGCTCGGGTAGGTACTCTCGTACCCAGCGCGCCCAGAAGTGGTCGGCGAGGCGCTGTGCTGCTCTCCAGTGCGGGCGGCCTATCAGGTCGCTCTCGTCGAACTCGCCCGGCAGTGGGACGCGCGCTGAACCTCCCAGCAGAAAGTGGTTGGGAGTGATGGCTTCGTCGTCTTCATGGTGCACGGACACGTGGGTGAGAGGCCGGCTGTTTACGGTGTATTCGGCCTCGGCGAGTAGCGTCGTAAGTACCTCTTCGGGCGGACTTCTTTCTTGCAAAACCGCACTTAGCGCGATTTTGACGGACTTCACGAGGCGTTCCCACGCCCCGCCCATGAATGGTGCTCCCGGCGGTATGTACCTCCACCGGATACTGCGGATGCTTGCTTCTTCGCTCGTCGCCTGCTGCACTGCCTTCTTCATTTCGTTTTCTGCGCCGTGGAAGTTGGTCCCGTTGTCCGACCAAATTTCGGTAGGGCACCCGCGGCGCGCTATCATGCGCCGTAGTGCGTGTATGGCGGAGTCCGTCGATAGTGAGGCGGCCAACTCGAGGTGCACGGCTCTCGTAGTAAGACATGTGAAGAGCGCGACGTAGCGTTTTTCTTGACGCCTGCCCACGGTGACTGTCAACGGCCCGAAATAATCCAATCCGGTGTACGTGAATGGCCGTCGGTGATGAGCGAGGCGCGTCGGCGGCAAATCTCCGGTAGGTGGCGACGGTGGCGCCGCCCTCCTTATGCGGCAGTTTATGCAACTGCTTATTATTCGTTTCGTGACGGGTCGAATGCGTAAAATCCAATAGTGTTGTCTGCACTCGTTGACTGTAGTTTCCACCCCGGCGTGGAGAAGGCTTCTATGTGTGTGTTCTATCCACAGTTGGGTGGCTCGATGGTTCCCGTCGAGTATCGCCGGTGTCTTCTGAGTTTCGGTTACTCCCGCCGCTGCGTTGACCCGGCTTCGTAGGTACAACACGCCGTCGTTGATTATTAGCGAAAGTGGGCGGAGTCGACTGTTCGTAGCGATGGTGGCGCCCCCTCGCAGTTGTTTCAACTCGTCTTGAAATGCGTCGTGTTGTATTACGCGAACTATTATTTTCTCTGCGCGTTCGATGTATCTTCGGTCGATTGCGATGAATTTTCTTTCTTGAACGGTTGGCGTCGTTTTCTTCTTATGTGTCGGCGCCGATT